CCTAAAAAATCTCCTGCACTAGGCTCCCTTGTTGCAGGGCAAGGCCAGCTGCAGAAGTGCTGCCAGGAGTGACAAAGTCTGCCACCTGCAAACCTTCTCTTAAATCCCTGTTTCCCTCAGCTGACCATCCCTCTTTCCATGCACTGGGGTCATTCATAATAGGCCCAGGACTCATTTATGTCACCTGGGGCTCAACTGGGGAGCAGGATTTATCAGCAGCCCCTGCCAGGCCATCAGTCAGACCAGAGAGCTCCTGTGGTGGGAAGAATGGCAGGACAGCTCATTTCCCTGGGTTTATTTGTCAGTACCTATCTAAGTCCTTCTTTGGAGAATGTCCATGGCAAAAAACAAAAAAAAAAAAAAAAAAAAAAAAAAAAAAAAAAAAAAAAAAACAAAAAAAAAACCCCACAAACAAACAACAAAAAAAAAACCCAAAAACACAAACACCCGAAAAAACACTTTGTATTAAGTAAAGAAACTAAAATCTTACTTTAGTATTGACTGCAGTAAAATCTAGGAATAACAATACAAAGATTTTATGTGCTTTGGCCAGGTGGGGCTATTGCAGCTGAGCTGGGCTGGCCAGGTGCTCCTGGATGGTCCAGATCGTCCTGGATGTTCCAAGTGCTCCTGGATGTTCCAAGTGCTCCTGGATGGTCCAAGTGCTCCTGGATAGTCATAGTCCAGGTGCTCCTGGATGGTCCAGGCTCAGAAGGAACCAGCAGCCTGATGCCCCCCAGAGCAGACAGATTTCCCCAGCTGCATTATCCACTCCCCAGCCTGTGTTGAGGGCAAAGCTGGAGTCACCATCTCCATTCAAGTACTGCACTTGCTTAAAGGCACAACACAATTAGTCCACTGTCACATGCAATTAGTAGCCACCGTGTTGGCACATATTGTAAAGCTTTGTTTCTTTAGCTTATGTGCAGCTAATTGGAGCCTGGTTCTGGAGAGCTGTACCACAGGCGTTTCTGCTGCAGGAGATGGTCCCTTCCACCCCCACTGCAGGAGGGGAGGGCATTCTCAACAGAAACTTGGAGGACAGTTGTGACATCTCAAATTAAGGATGCATTATGTGACCAGGACTGAAAACAAAATTATCAGAGTCCAATTTCTTGGGGGCATTTTTTCTCCCTTCTCTGCAGTGGGCTCCCACTCTCCCTTTGGCCTCACAGGAGTAAAAGAAAAGTGCATGGATTTCTTAAACCATTAGACTCTTTTTCCTAGGAATCAATTAATGCACATGCCAAGGAGTTCAGGTGTTCTTTCAGCTATTGAAAATATTCATCACATGTGAGCACTCACAAACTTCTCTCAGGACTGTCTGAGCTGCAAAATCCCCATGGCATTGCCTCATGGTGCAGTTCAGAGGAATAAATTACCTCTAAAATAAGGTAATACAGACCTTATTTGACCTCAGCATATTAAGATAATGTTGTGGTGCTATTACCATAATAACACTATGGTCACGTTGTTATCACCATGTAACAGCAGACAATTACTACCTGTTGTAACCTGCCAGGCTAACCTTACACTACTCATTAAAACAATTGTGAAACACTCATTTCTTTACTGAGGTGGCTTCACTGGAGTACAGAGCAGGTGCACAGCAGCATTTCTCTATATCAGCAGCAGAAATTGTGAATTCAGCTTTGTGTGCGAGAGGAAAGAGCAGCAACTGCAAGCTAATGGGGTGGTGCAGGGCTGCCAGGGGGCCAGGGGGATCACACACACATCATGAAGCAGAGAATCTGTTGCTAAAGCTGGGCTCAGTGATGGGGCCAAAGCAGAGAGAGGTTTAGAAATGAAGGAGAGGGATGGCTGCTGGGCTGGGAGAGGTCCCTGCAGATGTGCTCACTATGGAGGTGCAGCTGTGAATTTGAACAAAAATGTGGGGTATGATTTAACAAATGCATGGTACTATGAGACATGAAGTGCAGTGTTGGAAGCCAAATGGGAAGAAAATAGTCGGCATCTGCCCACAGAGTGGCTTAGATTGTCTACAAAGCTTTTAGATCACTCTGGTTTGGATCACAGCAAATAGTTACCTTTCCAGTTCAATATAAAAATGGTTTTTTTTGGTTTTGTTTTGGAGGGTGGTTTAGTTGTTTTGTTGCTGGGTGTATTTGTTTGGGGATTTTTTGCTTTAGCTTTTGGTTGTTATGTGGCTTATGATTAAACACTGATTTAATCATCAAAAGATATTTGTGTTGCTTCTCAGGTGCACTCTCAGCCCACCAGACCTGGGTCATGCTGCTGTGCCTCACTCTCCCTGAGCAGCAGCACAACAGGTTTCTTTTATACCTAACATTAAACAGGATCCACTCAGCAATCAGCTGCCTTGCCTTGGAAGATACAGCCTGGTTTAATTCTTTCCTCAAATACACTGCCCCCATTTGTTGAGAGATGACTCTAACCTGTGCTCTTTGTCTTCTGCACCACAGGAGATGTGCTCACTATGGAGGTGCAGCTGTATTTGAACAAAAATGTGGGGTATGATTCAATAAATTCATGCTTGCCAGGTTTCTAATGGCAAAATGGGGGGCTCTGTTTCTCATTATTTTCAGCTCTGCTGTACAACTGCTGCAAGTGGCCACCTAAAATCTTGTCCCAGGCTGGCAGGGGTGCAGTGTGCAGGTGGGCAGGGCCCAGGTGCTTCAGCTGCTGGCGAGGAGTCAATGCAACACCACAGAGGGGACAGAAAAGTGATTAGAAACACTGTTAGCAGATAAAAGCCCTTTTTTCCCAGAATGAACAACCCCTTTTAGACGTGCAGAGGGCTCTGTCAGTGTGGTGAGGGTGCAGCTGTCTCAGTGTCTCTCTCCTGGAACCCTCCACAGTCTATCTTTTGTCTTTCAACACTTCATTGTAAGTGAAGATTGACAGGGCCTTGCTGATGCCTCTGCAGCACCTCTCTGCCTGAATGCAGAAATGGTTTTTTTTTTATCTTGGATAAAACCTGCTGACTCTTCCTGAGGAATCCCAGGTTGGGGGATGTGACCCAAATAAATGTTCTCTGGAGAATGTATTCTGGCAGAAGACTTCACATTGTGCAGATTACAAATTGCACCCAATTTTCTGGTTTAGCTGCCTGATTTTTAGTGCTGGAGCTGTTGATTGCTTCAACTGTTGCAATTCAGAGAAACATTTTTCATGCAAAAATAAAAGTAGCAGTTGCTAGCACTCAAAGAGTGCTGAAACACATGGTTTTCATGGTTGTTTTTTAATCCACACTCCATTGTTCAGTTTCCTATTCCTGACTCATCAGTGTCCTGATCTCACAGGGGCTTATGTGTGGAAGTTTTGGTGCAACTTCAATTCTGAGCTGAGTAAATTAAATAAACTCAAAGGTGGTTATGACACAAATATATGGGCAGTGCCTGTTTGCCCAAGATACTTATGGGATCATGACCGACTTGGATCTCCTCTGGTTTTGTTACTGCTTGAAATTTCTGTAGGATTTCAGTATTGGCATTTTCTGTAGTGTTTCTTCCAGAACTTGGTTTTACTTGGAGGGCCAGAGAGATGGTGATTGGAGGGTCAGAGCACAGGCACAGACTTACCTGTGCTTTGGCCCTGATGTGCTCAGCCCAGTGCTGCCTTGGAACCTCCCACAATACTAATTTTAACAAAAATTAAACACCTGGAACACTAGGAAAGAAATAATTGAATCATTTCAAAATTAACATTCTAAATGTTGGAAACCAGAACTCAAAGATCCCACAGTGCAATTGGCTGTGCAATTGAATTTTTCCTCCCTTGCCAGTGATGCCTGACCCATGGGGCAGCACAGCCCCCAACATGGGCACACACAAGCCCAAAAAACACCACCCAGCTCTGCTAAACACCAGGGGAGAGCTGTCAAAATTCCCAGCACTCTGTGGCACCTCTAGCAAGGGCTTAGTCTCTCCCCTACCCTCAATATTGCAGCCCCAAAGCTGAGAGATGGGAAGCTGCTGGCTCACACGAGCCCAGGAGACCTTGTATGTTTAATTTATTTCCAGTTCCTCCAGCTTTCTCCATGCCTTCACAAGTCCTGTTTCCAAGGAGGAGACTGTAGCCCTAACAGGCTCGTTCACAGGACACAGTATCTTGTGATGCTGTGAATAAACAAATGTGGGAGAGTTTTCAGCACTTAATGGTGTCAGCCATGAAGCAGAAATCTGTTCTCAGCCCTGCCCATATGGGAGCTGGTGTGCTGCAGTTATGTCTGGATGGGTAAAATGAAGCCCTGTGCTTAACATCTAATGAAGGTCTGGAGAAAAATCCCAACAGCTCAAGCAACCAGGTAATGAAGGCACAACAGAGAGCCCCATTGCCCTTTTGGGGGGGGGGGGCCATTTTTTTTTTTGGTTTATTTCGTTTTACTTTTTTTTTTTATTGTTGCGTAAGGAAGCCCACCCATTTAGGATAAATACTTGTTTAATGAATATTTGGCTGTCAGGTTTCAGACCTAAATATGCCTATTCAGGTTCCTGTTAATTAAAACAAACTCCTGGGAGCCTGATCCTGACCTGAATGCAGCACACAAAGGAGGAGAAAGGCAGTCAACACTGACTTTTACAGATACTCTGAGGGAGGGGAATCCAGCTCAATGGTCTGATTTCTATCAACACAGTGGAAGCCAGATGGATACTCTCTGTCCTGTCTATCTCTTAGCTAAAACACTGGCTGGCTTTAAAAATTTGAAGACATTTTGGCTGAAAATTTGAAGATATTTCCCTGAAATCCAGCTGGTCTGATCAAAGGGATTGGGTAAAGAGAAAATTTAAACTCTGCTTAATCTGCTTTTCCTTCTATACCTAACATTAAACCACTGCCTTTTTTACAATGAAGTTTAAAACCTGAATATCTAGTCATACTTAATCTTTTTCTAGCTCCCACCTGTCTGTCATTGGAGCACCTTACATTCCCACTCAGACATGGAGACAGATCACAGAAGACTCTGAGACAGCAAGAAATCAGCCCAGGCACCCAGACAACCTCCATCCAAGCCATACCTGTGGTGCTTCCCCTCTTTCTAGTGAGCAGGAGCTTGTTGGGTCACTTTTCCCTTCCTCTCCAGCTTTAGAAACACCAAGTCCAAGCACGATGAATTTCAGCTTCTCAACAAGAGTGGAAAAACCTCTATAGAAATATATTTTAACTGCCTGACATCTAGCTTCAATTAAGTTTATCTGCATTAATAACATACATTTCTCACTCAGTGGGTAAGGATATTTTTAATCTTTTATGCCGTCATCCAATAAGCCTGAAAACTGATAAAAAATACATTCATGTGCAAATCAGTCCTTTTTAATTTCCTTTTACTTTTTTTTTTCATCCTACTTCGATATTTTAAAATCCAACCTCTTTGTAAGCCCTGAAAATATTTCCTATTGGCATGGCTAAAAACAAATGTTCAGAAGTGAACAGTCAGCCACTGGAGAGAAGATGGGCATCAATGGGCTGTGCTCGTATCAGAGGGCTGAGAGTGACACATGGAGCCTTCCACACCTTGATCCACCAGTTTGAAACTGCAACACCCAAACCTGACCCACAGTTAGAATCATGTGACAATTAGGTAATTAGGTTCATGGACATGATTGCTGCTCTCCTTTCCTCCCTGGCAGTGGGCAGGTATTCTGCTTGCTGACAGGAGCTAGTTTTTCTCTTGCTATCAATATCAACCATTCAGTTAAAACTAATTATTCTCCTCTCCAGGATCTCTTTTCTTAAAAGAACTGTGACTCAGAAGGTAACACTACAGTGATAGATATCCATCTTCCCACTCACTTTTACTTTTTTCCTCCACTACAACCCTGAAGGAGAAGGAATTCCCTTATCAGGAACCAAGAGGAAAGAAAACTCTGGTTAGAGGCTACCTGTGTTCTTGCTACTTGCAAGAGACTCTTAACCAGAACACCAACAAATGGGAGAAAACCTTCCCAAGTTCTTTGCAAACATCTATTCCTAATATCCCACAACCCCTCTGTGAAGTCCTCATGGACATTGTTTATAGGGACATGCAAAAAAAATTGTGGTCCAGCTTATGTCTGCTGACCTAAAGTGATAGTTCAGATCAGGTTTGTGTCGTGCCTCTCTAGAAACATTGCCCTTGGAAAACAGCCTTGTCCCTCAGGATCCCTCCCTGTGTCCTCCGTGCCCAGGGGGGTATCTACCCGACCCTTGGTACTTCTCTGCCCGCATTCTCTGAAGACTTTTTCTTACAACTCAAGCCAGGGGTTAGTTCTGAGTGATTTCCTCCATTTTGACAATTCAAATAGGAGAAGTGACAAAGGATATTCAGATAATTTCATTCCCACTACCTTTGCCCTTTTCCTTGGGAAACACAGCTCTTGAGGAACATGCAAACTGTTCCTTCAGATCTTTTGCTAGTAATGAATACATTTCTCTTCATTATTTTATTTCCCCGATCTTTGTTCAAAGAAACCTACAAATGCAGTGAAGTGTTACCTGTCAATCAGTTAATCAGTTTAGCAAATGTCTGGCAGCAAAGAAACATGAAACGAGGCAGCTACAGTGTAATTTTCTGATCAGTCCATTAGACATTTGTTCATCTGAACACTTTGTGCCTCTCTTCTGCTATGTCATCTGGCAAGAGCAGACATCTGAAAATTATATTCTTTCACCAGATATAAAGTCTATAGCACTCATTAAAATATTCATGACAAGAAACACTTCAGTCAATTGGTGAAATGCTGTTACAGTTAAAACATAAATCTCCACCATGCCATTACTGTGGTGTGAATGGATTTACAGTAATTTGTGAGTAAATACAAAGAACAGGAACACTGTGATAAACTCAAAGATCTCCTTTGTGTAAATGAGAATTTGTGTACAGATAAGTCTGTAGAAAATTTTGTAAAGAAATTACCAAGAAGTGAAAACCCTCTCCAATTACAAATGAACTATCTTAGGTAGATGATCAGGTGCTGCAGGGAGAGTGCAAAATCCATGCAGGACTGTAACTCCCAGGCTGTCAGCCCTACCTGAGCTCTGCCAGCTGGGTCTCAGATTAAGGAAATCTGGACTGATTTTCCTACATGAATGGCAATCAGTGCTATGCACACCCTACAAATCCCCACCCCACCTGGGGAAATGCTTACAGAGAACTAATTGAAACAGCCATTGGGTATTTCAGGTTAAAAAAAAAAAAAATCATTCTGACTATTGCACTTAAAATAAAGATCTTCTAGACTAGAGACAGCATATTCTGGAGCAGGAAAATCCTTCAAATGTGTATTTGAAAGAAGCAGAGAATACACAAAAGAAAGGTAAATTTCCATGGCAAAATCCAGCCATTTCACCTGGAACCAGCTGTGTGGGGAAGGCCGGGACTGATGCTTCTTCCACAAGTGCATCTTATAATCTCAGTATTATCAGCTGTGAGAGTGACTCGAATTAAAGCCATGAAAACATGGATGAACCCATATCCTGGGTTTGACCAAAAGCCCAATGTATTCTGTAAAATTGTTTCACGGACTCCTGGTGTTCAACTCAGGCTTTTGGCAAGGCTGGTGCTAGGATACATATACAAATTGATTCAACAAGCTCATTAAAAAGGACCCAGAAACACTCAAACCCCTTTCCCCAAACAAAAAAAACCCAAACACAGCAACTTTCCATTCTAAATTTCCTTCAGAGTACAAATGCCTTTAAAAACAATTGTTTCTACAATTTTATCTGGCATTCAGCTATCAATATCCTGAGTAGTAGTTTAAAAATCCCACCATTTTTGTCTGATTTATCTACTCATCCTAATGATTTATAGATCATTTCTACTCTCAAATTAACCTTGGGAAACATTTAGATACTCTTTGGAAAATGCTCAGCTGACTATGGAGATCTCTAATTTCTAGATCAACAGAGGACTTTGCATGCCTGGTTAAGTTTGGAACTGTCTGTTCCTAATTTGTTTCTCCGGCTGAATATTTATTTGATTCCAAACCTGTTCCAAAGATGGTTTTATACATATTGTCATCAAGGAACTGGGATGCAAAATGAGAAACTCCTACTATGTCTTGTGTGTTGCTACTAAACCACTCAGTTATTTCACCTTCCAGTTCTGCTCTTTTCCTCACCTTGGAAAAGCCCCTTAATTCATTCTGAAATGGGTGTTTAAGTCGCTAAAGAGCAGCAGCCTGCTGCAGCACTTCTATGGGTGGAGACTGTTGCTAAAACAGTTTTTGCATCTCTTTTCATGTTGAGTGGCAAGTTCCTGACCTTGAACTCTGCCAGGTTATTGCAGGAGAAAAGTTGGCAGTTTTGGGAGGAAGGTTAAGTGATAAAAATAAGAAGATCACCAGAGATGGAAAGAGAAGTGATAAGGCAGAAAATGCAAATAAAATGGAACAGAGACTTTAAAGAGAGCTGGTGCTGGATTGTCAGAGGCAGAGCAAGTGGGGTCACCCTGCCTGCACCCTGCCCTGGGCTGCACCCTGCCCGTCCCAGGGAATCTGTATGCAAAGGCAGCCACAGGCAGCTGATTAATTCAGCTGCTGCTATAAACCAGGAAATAAATTGTTCCATTAAAAAAAGATATTTTAGCATCAGCTATGATCAGTGAACCTCTTGCTCTAATTTTTCTCTTCTTTCCATTTGCCATGCATCCTTCTCCAGCTCTGTCCAGGACAATTTAATTACCCGCAGTGAGCGATTGCCACGGAGCTGCAGGCAATGTGAGGAATCAGTTTAAAAGTACAGTGGCTCATGTGCAACTTCTGCTGCTGCAGATTACTGCACTGAAGATTACAAGTCACCCAGAAAATCCCAGAAGAGAACATCATCAGGGTTTAAACAGAGTATGAAAATTGTAGGTTCACATTCTAACGTGTTTCTTATTGGATTCGATCTGCCACGAAAGACTCAGCATAACTCGTGTCGTTGATGTTACCTGACACTCAGCTGTGGAGGACTCGGGCTCTGTTTGGAGAAGGGTTATAAATAAAGCTGTCAGAAGCCTGTCCCCACAGGGCCATTCATTTGTCCATACAATGACAATGGCAATACCCTCTTTTCAACTGCTTTTTTCCATAAACGTGGACTGGATTTTGAGCTCACATGAAATCCAGCCAGTCAGAAATTGTAGCCAGGTCCTGTGGTGCTATTTATCCTTGTCACTGCATCCTCAGCTGCTCAGAAGTGAAGATCCAGCTGCCAATTAAAGCAAGAGTTACCCTTCAAATTAACATGTAACCCAAGTTTTCTCCACTTGATGGCCTAATCCTGTTCCCAGAGAACTTAGTGAAAGCTGTCTGACTCCTCTGAAATCCTCTCCTGCCCAAAGCTGCATTAGCACATTTGAGGCCACAATGGGGGCAGGAAAAAAAATCAAGGTTATTGTCATCAAGGTTTTAAAGGAAGTGCTCAGGTTCTCTAAGCTACAAACTAGGATGTAGCCAGGAATGGCAAATAAGGATTTGGCCCTATTTGAGTAGGTATAGATGTGTTTTTGACTTTATGTTTATAATCAAATATAATGAAAGTTGATGAGAAGGAAAACAATGTTTTTTTACAAGTTGGCATAGCTGTTATTCATTCTGACTGTCTGGATTTGTAATCAGCTTTATCAATTTAATTTCATTTATACTGTGGTTTGGGGCAGAACCTTTCTCAAGTTCAGAGACTGCTGATTAAAGCCTAAGATTTTCCTCGTGCTTTATTAATACAAGTATCAATATATGGAATTCAGAAAAGGCAGGAAATTGAGATATTTGGGAATGTAGATGTAGCTGTTAGACCATTTGGGGAGGACTACTGACAAGGCTAGAAGAAAAGCCAGACCAAACAAAGCTGAACTTGCCAAGAGAGATCACTGAAGAATAAACACTGTATGCCTGATCCATTGGAAGAAGAAGTCAGACAGCACAGCAGGTTATCTCCAGCAGTGCACGTGTCTCCCAAAAGCTTGACAATGAGCTGGCAGTGTTTCAGGATTCCCAGAATATTCATGCACAAATAAGTAGGTTGTGAACACATTTAAATCAGTTTATGTGTGCCTGTTTAAGAGCAGCAGCTCTCTGCTGCCTGGCTCAGGTGTGCTGTGAAAGAAGAGGGTTCCTCTGCTTCAGGAGCTTCACTGCTTCTCTCTGGTGTCATCAACCCATCCCTTCCTCTCCAGCCACTGGTGCTC